GCACCATTCCCTAAAGCCCAGGCGTCCCCTCCGTACAAATCCTGCAGCACAACCCAGGGCCTGCGTGTCCACCAGGAAGGCAGGCAGGTGCCCCGCTGGCCTAGGTGACCAGCTGGGGTTTGGATCTGTAATGTCCCCCGGAGACCAAGTGCTCAAGGTGAGGTCCCCAGCGGGAGCTGCTGGGAGGCTGGGCCTGTTGGGACATCTTCCTGCTCTTAGGTGTGGCCTTGAAGAGGGCAGCGGAAACCCCGTTCGTTCTAGCTGCTCCAGATCTGCTTCCCAGGCTGAGATGGACGTGTTGTGCTCTGCCCCACACCCACCCTGACACGCCATCCCACCACGGCCAAAAGCGATGGGCCCGTTGCTCTGGGCTGAACCCTCCACACGAGAAAGATAAACCTTCTGTCTTTACAAGTCGATTCGCTCAGGAATTTGTCACAGTGACCGAATCTGGAGGACGTGCGTGTCTCGTGGTTCTGCAGGTGGTCAGGGCAAGAGCAGTGGCGTGAGCAAGAGACTGGCAAGATGCAGAGGAGAATCAGGCCAGTTTATCACGACCAAACCAAGTGTCTGTGAGCTGGGTATAAATCTGGCAAAGACAAAGTGAGTTCAGCATTGTGTAATGCCCACAAACACGGGGGCCACATTTTCACTCTTTAAACATTTTTATTGACAGCACCATTGAACATCTTCCCCCCCGGAAAGGTGCACAGCCGCACAGACGTGGCTGTGGGGTTCACATGCAGCGGAAAATGAGTCACCTGAACCCTGCATCTTGAAGTTTCAAGGGTCCCCCCATGTGACAGTCACACTTTGGCAGAATCAGTGGTGAGGCATGAAGGACTTTAAGCAACAACACTCCACAGAACTGTAACACAGTGCCAGACACCCTGGAAGGGCCCTATCTCCGAAGCCATCCTCTCTGCTTTGTTCTCAGAAATCAGACGCATTTCGTGACTCTGGCTGGCTTTCTGTTAAGCCGTAACAGTGGATTACTGAGCAAACATTAAGCAGGTCCGAGGTACACAGAACAGGCCAGGCTGGAAAGGGGGGCGTGGGCAATGCCAGAGGGCATCGGCTCAGGGGCTCACTCCTCCAGCACGGGGCTCGCACTGCAGAGCCGGGTCTGACGCAGGTGCCAGTGCAGAACCTGGTGTCCCGGTTCCCAGACCTCGCTCCTCCCGCGGCCCCTGGCTTGTAAATACGCTCAGGAGCACACAAAGGTGACAGCTCACTACGGGTGACAGACGGTCCCTCATCTAAACTCAAAATCCATATCAGGAAGCGTAGCCTCCCTCTCTCATCTGTCTGTCTCCGTCTGTCTGTCTCACGGTCTTTAACTACAAGGGTGGGAAAGTACATTAGAAAGCACGCTACTTTGAAATGTAATCAATGCATTTTGCCCTCTCTGAGAAAACAGCACTTGGCGAGGGACTCAGGACGCCACCAGCAACAAAGCGTTTTTTAATGACTAAACTCCGCCTCAGCACCAAGACGGACGCTTACCAAGAGCTGACAAGAGCAACAGGTCTAAAATTGGTGATTGTAAGAACAGTGGAGGGGACCACGAATCAGTGCGCTGATATTTTCTAGCCTTTTTAGCACTGGGCTCATCAAACTGAGGAAAATCATGAACTGAAGAAATCAACACTGAAAAACACCAGCAAATGCTTCTTCCCTCATCAGACTCATGGCCCCAGGGACCGGCTGAAAAATGGGATTTGCAAAGGCTTTCTGTTTCCCCAACTGAATAATTTCCAAAATTCCTATATCAAGACAACCACCATTTTCATGAATAGTTTTATTTTTAACAATCTTAGCCAGGGTTGCCGGTGCACACCTATAATCCCAGCACTCAGGAAGCTGAGGCAGGAGGATTGCCAAGAGTTTGAGGCCAAGCTGGGCTACATAGCCAGTTCAAGGCCAGCCTGAACTGCATAGGGAGACCCTGTCTCAAAAACAGAACAAAAACCTTGTCTGGCAAGGGTATTGCTCTAGAGTAGAGCACCTATTTAGCATACAAAAGATCCTGAGTCCAACCATTAATACCGAAAAATAAAATAATAAAATAAAACCCATTTTAAAGAGCGAATTCTGCAGAAACAGTGATACTAAAAGGTCTGTCAGCCCTTGGAGGGGCCGCCAACAACAGTGTCCCTAACCTGCCCTTAATTCTAGCCAGTGGTTCAGAACTAGGGACCACTGGGGTGGGGAGGTGCTGGAGACAGCTCCGGTTGCCCCAGCTCGGGTTGCCCCAGCGACTGTGGTGGAGCCAGGCTGTTGCTTCCTCTCTTCGCCCCAAAAGGGTGATCATTGTGGAAGCAGGTTTCGGCCTAGCAGAGGAGTTCTCCACGTCCCCACGTCCTGTGGAGCTGCCTTAGTGTAGCGCAGCGTCTGCCTCTGGGACTTGTGGCAGGGTTTTTTGTTGTTGTTTGGTTTGGTTTCTGTTGTTTTTGTTTTTTTGACATGCAAAACATTCCCATTAAACTTTGGGGTTGTTGATTTACCACCACTAGCATTTGCTCAACTGTAGCAAAAAAACAGAAAAGTAACTAAGTATGGTATCTTAAATTCTTCCCCAAAGAGTGTTTCCCTCTTTTTATTGGCATCTAATCAACAATGTTGAGGGACAATATTTTTTCTGTCAACACTGGAGACCGGTGGCCCAAGGGTAACCCTAACAGGCAAATAGCATGAAAAACTTCACCTCTATCTTCAAAATCCAAGGTGGACGCTGGAAAGTGAAGCAGACTGAGTATTTCTGCTCACTTGTCTGAACCAGTGTGGGTAGGAGTATGGAAAGTGCCAGTGCAGTAGATGCCCGGCCAGCACGGGACGCCGAGCCCTGACCTGCACAGAGAAAGCCATGGACTGGTACTTGGTTTATAAGCAGATTTCCAGGGTGGGGTTCAGCCCAGTGGTAGGACCTCTGCCCAGCATGCATGAAGCCTTGGGTTTGATCCTCAGCACTGCAGGAAAAAAAAATTGCTTTCAGTACTTAAAAAAAAAAAAGGAAAGAATACTCTAGAATGAACCTAAAATTCAGGAACACAAACTAAGGGTCAGTGTTTTTCTACTCTACTAAATCTATTGTTTTAAGTACATTGTTCATCCAGTGTTGCTCACACAGAGAGAAAAAGAAAATTCTTTTGCAGTTCCTTGGGAGGATTAAAAGGCTAGTCAGCCAGAGATGGTAGCATATGCCGATAATCCCAACACTCAGGAGGCTGAGGCAGGGGAACCACCACAAGTTCGAGGCCAGTTTGAGCTACCTAGTGAGCTTAAGGCCCGCCTGAATTACACAGTGAGACCCTCTCTCAAAAAAACAAAAAATAAAACAAAATAAAGGCTGGGGATTTAGCTCAGTGGCACAGCGCCTGCCTGGCAAGCATGAGGTACTGAGCTCAATCCCTGGCACTAAATAAATAAATAAATAAATAAAAGCCATGTCAGTTCAAGGGCAGCATAGAACCCAGTAAAACACTACACAGCTGGTTTCACAGAACTGGTGGCAAATGTGACCCAATGCAAAACTACTGCCTTTATGGGGGATTTTTGGACACTAAACACACTCAGCCACTCCATCTTTCTTTTTTTGTCTGAGACAGGCTCTCACTATGCAGTTCAGGCTGGCCTCGAACTCACAACGATCCTCCTGCCTCAGCCTCCTGAGTCCTAGGATTATAGGCGTGTGCCACCACGCCCGGCGTCAGCCACTCCATCTTAAAAAGGTATTATTTCCAGATCCACAATTTGATGTGCTTATAAATCTCAGTCAAGGTAGTCTTCTGAGGTTAGATTTAATTATTTTGGAATTAAGTGCCTGTCCCTTTCCGAAAAAATACTGTAGATATTAAAGAACATTATTTAGATGCAAACTAAAGTGCATTCCTTGAGCCGGTTGCACAAAATCTATAAAATTGTAGTTTTTCCCATTTAATAAAGGCACTATGTTGTGAATCAAGTTAGAACTTCCAATTTGGAACAGATAAATTTCTTCTTCTGCTGTGGCTACAGTGTCTCAAACAATATGTACATAAGAGTATGGCTAGGGGCCGGGGATACAGCTCAGTGGCACAGCGCCTCAGTGGCAAGTGCAAGGTCCTGAGTTGACTCCCAGTACCAAAAGGATTAAAAAAAAAAAAAGATTGTATCTCACAGATCCCTGCAGTTTCTTCTAGGAGATCTCTATGTCTTGCATGTCACACATTGAATGCTAAAAATCAAGGTGCCATCTCATTATTTTCTACTCCTTCAGCTTATAAAGTGCATCTAAGCTAACCTAATGAACTTCTAGAGTTAAGAACATTTTTAGGTACTTCTCTATTGATGGCCAAATTAATTTCAAATAACGAACTTCCAAGGTACAAACAATTTCCTATGCTACTGATCCCAGCTGCTTACTTATCAGCCTTTGAATTTAGGATTGGGACAATTCTTTTTTTTAAGACAGGGTCTTGCTATGTTGCCCAGGCTGGCCTGAAACTCTCTTGACCAAGTGATCCTCCTGCCTCAGCCTCCTGAGAAGCTGGGACTGCAGGCTTCTGCTCTTGTGCCTGGCAAAGCGAAATCTCCCTAAATAATGTAGATGCTGTTTCTGTGATCACCCCAGAACTTCTGTGGAATCCTGAACAGATTCTAAATAGGGCTCAAAGCTTACAGCCTAGGGGGTGTTTTCAGTCAATTTTGCAACCTACCGAAGCAGACACTAATTCTCTAAGTAACATCCATTTCCTTAGATCTTCAGGACTATTTAAATCCTGGTGCCTAAACAATGTGTTGAATCCATGTCAGATGTTTCTCCACGACTTAATACAGTTGCGTTATGTGTCTGAATCAGATTATAATAAATTTATTTGAAGTTGGTAACAATTCCTAAAAGAAAATTCTAAGCTCCTCAAAACATCGGAAGCAGCAGTTAACTGAATTCTCCCTTTCCACCCGGCGTTTCCCTCGAGTTATCAGCTGGTAACTATAATAAATACCTCACAGTACTCTAATTAAGCACAAGGCAGTCGAGCTGGTTTATTGGGCAGGAACGGCCTCTCGAAGTCACAAGTGCTCATTTCCCCCTGGCAAATGCTGCACAGATCAATGTGATCGTATAGAAGGAGACCCAGGACCCCCGGGACAGACAGGAAGATCACCATCAAGGGGAAAAGGACACGGCCAGCTGGAGATTTTAGAAGACAGCAAATAGGTACTTGGATCATAATTTAAAAAGCGGAAATGTTGCCCACTTCCAAGTGGAGAGAACATGCTGCACGTGGAGACGCTACCATTCGGTGACCAGCGGAAGGCGGGGGGCCTTCTCTCCCGCTCTCTGACACGGCACCCGCCTCCCCCGGGCAGACAGTCCCTACCGGAGTAGCCAGTCCTTTACCTTCACCACAAAATGCACCAAAGATCCTTCTGCGGTGCCCAAACTAACTGCCCTCTTTTCTGATCTTCCAGGAGAGTGAGAAAGACAAGCTGCTCTGTCCTTCCGCTGCTTGTTCCTACGACCTCAGGCAGAACTCCCCTGAGTCAGCCGGATGCGGCACTCAGTCTGCAAACAAGTGGCTGGCTGCTGAGCTTTCACCTGGGAGCTCACCCTGGATCCCCTCCCCAGCACCGCAGAGATCAGAAAGCAGGAACGGCAGGGAATCGTGTGTCGCAGTCCCGGAGTCCCAGCCTGCACACCCCGGTGGATGCCCTAGTGCAGTTCTTTAGAAAATGCACAGGCCACAGGAAGGGTGAGCGGAACCTCAAAACCAGCGATGTGTTCCGCCGACCCCAGGCCCTGACCTCTCCTGCACGCAGCCAGCACACGCTGACGCATGCGGAGCCCATGGTTCACAGAGCCACACTGCTGACCCCACAGCCCTCGCTCACAGTCTGAGCCGTGGACCCCACGCTAGAAATGCGTGCTGTTTTCACAGCGCTGGTCCTCCTGGGCCTTGGGAGGGGCTTCCGCATGGTCACTGCCGAGACAGCCGTCCCCGGGCACCTCGATGGCCACGTCCGCCGGGTCCCTCCTGCTCCGGTAGCTCTCCAGAGTTAGGCCCCCATTGTGCTCCGCACAGCCGTTGACATGGGCCAGGGGCAGAGCCCCAGGGGGACAGCACAGCTTGTCCGCGCAGGCCTGGGACACGCAGGGGCTGCTGCACACCAGCAGGAAGTCCTCGTGCTCCGAGGACTCCCGCGAGTCCACGCTCTCGAACTGGATGGTCACACTGTGGACGCCGGCGTGGTGGAAGATCTCCCGGACCTTCTTGCTGGCCTCCTCCCGCGCTCTGTCCTCCTGGAGCTTGATGTGCAGGGTGGCGATGATCTTCCCGCTCACAAGCTCCCACACGTGGAGTTCATGCACACCGCTGACCCCAGGCACGGTGGAGAGTTTGCTCACTAGGACAGAAAGAGCAGACAGCCACTGTGAGCGCCACGGCAAGCGTGGCTCCAGGTGGGCCCAGCTCCCGACATGAGCACACCGCGGCGCGGCACGCCGGGCAAGACACCAGCTGGGCCCGCACGCACCCGGCTCCCGCCATCTCTCCGAGGGCCTGGCCTACGCGCTGCCAGCCCCGAGCGAGGCCTTCAAGGAAGGAAGTTTACCGAGGGGAAAGGCCCAGGGCCCCTGAGCACAGCACCCAAGGACAACACAGAGGTCTCTGAAAAGCACTCGTTTGGCAAGAAGCATCCAAAACATTAATCAGCCATTCCAGTGCTGGGAATGTAACCCAAACACTTTGGGTCATGCTCTTCATAGTAATGAAGAGAAAAAAAAACAACGAAGCAACACAGAAACCTTTAAACCCATTATTCCAGCAGGATAGGGGACAGCTGTTAAAACTAAGCTGCATATTTAAGGCTACGAGGAAATGTACAGAGGTATTTTCAAAGGACAAAAGCAAATAGCTGAGCTACACACACAGCACGATCTTTGGAAGTGTTGTACAATGCACACAGAAAAAACTGAGGGTGGCAATTTCTATTCTTATTGGGGCTTTTCTGCATTTTCCATACTTTCCAGAATGTGTGCATTTAAGTGACAGAACAGACAGTTGTCTGTGAGCAAAGACCCCGCTGTCAGCGGGAGCAGGGAGCCCGGTGTGCCGTATGACCTCGGGAATCCACCCAGCCCTGCTGTAAACGAGCCCTCCTTCCCGGAAAATTAGGAACCATGAGGAGAGTTCCTCGCAGGATTATGCTCAGCACAGAAGCAAGCTGACACAAGCACTTAGAACAGTGCCTAGCCTGGGGTAAATTAAGGGTCCCTATTGTCGTTATTCCTGTCTTTTAAAAATATGCTCTTAAGGCCGGCAGCGTGGCGTATACATGCAATCCCATCACGGGGAGGCTGAGGCAGAAGGACTGCCTCAAATTCAAGGCCAGCCTGAACTACACAGCAAAAATCTGCCTCAAAAAAAAAAAAAACTTGAAAGGCAGGCAGTGTACCGTACACTGTGGGTTTTCTGCATGTATCTTGCCCCCCCCCCCGCTACCCCAGAAGCAAACTAGACCTTGGAAAGGCAGAGCGCCGCCTGTCCGCTCAGCTGCAACCCCTCCCCTCCGACCACCCGCACTCCCTGTAGCACCAACAGACACCGTGAAACCCAGCACTGGCCAGGCTTGGGCTGGCGGAGACGTGGCGGGGTGGGGTGGGGAGGTCCGTGCTTAGCATCAGCACCAAACAAGGAAAGGCCACTCTGAAGTCACCCTTCCATGACACCCTCCGAGGGGACAGTAGGTCCAGCCACTCAGTGTAGCAGGACCCAGGCAAGCTGAATTCCAGGTTTGCGCCATGAAATCAGCTCTTCCAGGTTCTACTCCACTTCCGGGTGGGGCCAAGGTAAATCAAACAATAGCAGCTATCTCAGCGAGGTCTCCCCAGTTCGATTCCCAGTACCAAAAAAAAAAAAAAAGAAAAGAAAAGAAAGAAAGAAATGCTCACAACGAGGTCTTGTTCTATAAAAATACAATCCGCACCCGGAAACTCGGGGACAAGATCACCACTCACTTCGTCACCAGCGCCTGCAGAGCTCCGGCCCAGGAGACCCACGGTGTCTGCAACACCGCCCCTGGGATGCGTGTAACCAAAGCGAGCCTTTGACTTCTACTCAGGCAACCAGAGGCAGCATTCCCCCACAGACGAGGGAAGGGTCTGAATTTGAACCCTGTCCTTATTACCGTGCTGAGATGCAGGGACTGTGCCCATAAAATTTGGGATCTAAAATATAAATGATTTAAGTTTTGTTTTTTTTTAAAGTAATAAAAATGAAGTTCTTGCCCAGCATGGTGGTGCACGCCTGAAATCCCAGCACTAAGAGGCTGAGGCAGGAGGGTTGTGAGTTTGAGTCCAGCCTGGGCAACTGAGCAGCTTAGTAAGACTCTGTCTCAAAAGACAGAGACAGGGGCTGGGGCTGTAGCTCAGTGCAATCTTGGTTCTGTCCCCAGAACTGCGAAAGAAACAAAAGAGCCCTGGAGGAGGTACCGGCCATGCACCGCACACTCAAGGCTGCAGTGAAGTCAGACATTCACAGGTGGGAAGGACATCGGTTCCTGTCGCTGGGGCTCATCTGCCGGGTTGCCAACCACGGGGCGGGCATCTCTATTGCTAGGTGATTCGAGTACTCCTCAGGATAGAAACCACACGCCGCCTGGGCGTGGTGGCCCTCACCTGTAATCCCTGCACTTGGGAGGCTGATGCAGGAGGGTCACAGCGAGTTCAAGGCCAGCCTGGGCTACGCAGCAAGACCCTGTCTCAAAAACAGGACACCACATGCCGCCCCTGCGTCCCGCGGGGCATGAACTGCGCAGCCCCGGATCCTGATCCCCGCTACTCACCCAGCTCCTCCATGTTGACGCCCGGGGGCACCATCTGCAGCAGGATGGTGGCCGTCTCCTTGAGGAGCGGGAAGGCGGAGGACAGGATGATGATGACCATGACGACGGTCAGGCTGGGGTCGATGTAGCACTGCCAGTTACACGGCTCCTCGCTCGTCAGAGGAAGCACGTAGAATATGACGGCCGTGACGACCACGATCACGGAGCCCAGGGCGTCACCCATCACGTGCAGGAGGACGCCTGGCGGGGAAGGGGCGCGTGAGGGGCAGGGCCCGTGTATGGACACCCGCAGCTCCGCGTTTCTGCCTTCTTAGTGAGAGGCAGCGCCGGCTGTTCCTCGGGAAACAAACCCAGCCACACCACCAGCACCCAGGGAGCCCGGGCAGAGGGAGCGCAGCGAGGGAGACTCTGACCAGAGGCCACCTTGCCACCGTCAGAGGCCACCAGGCGGGGAACAGGGCCGGCCGGGCCACTCCTGCGTCCTGTCTGTCCTCCAGGCTCCTTGAAACGCACACAGAGAGGTAGGGGAGCGCAGCTTTCTACTCTGTCTTCCACCGCCGCTCGGCCTCCAGCGAGTTCCCACTGCACAAGGAGCCACTTGCCACAACACAAAATGAGAACTCTGCAGTCGGCAGGATGGCACACACCTGTACTCCCGGCACCAGGAAACTGAGGCAGGAAGACCACCGAGAGTTTGAGACCAGCCTAAAACTACACAGCAAGACCCTGTCTCAAAACCACAAAACAAATTTAAATTCTGCAGACACCAAGAGAAATTGTGGCTCCCTTTAATGACAGGAATGGTTTCTAACGGTGTCCAGCACGGCGTGGAACACACACAATCCTCAGCCAAGAGCAGCGGGCGCTCAACAGTTAGACGTAGACTAAATTTAGCGAATCTGGTGAACCTCCGGTCAAAGGGACAGGAAATACGGACACAGCGTGTGCGGTTGAGAGGACTCATCAAAATCTGGCCGTTCAAGAGCACTGTGGTCGCCTGCTGCAGCAACCCACAAGACCAAGAAAATCGCGAGATCTTTGGGTTCCCTTTAAGGACACGCACGAGCCTGCCCAGGTCATCGGTGGGTGCCCATCCAAAAAGCCACTGGGGTCTGCAGGACGTCGCCTTGAAGCGGCAGCGTGTGCTGACCCACCGTCATGAAACAAAGCTCTGCACAGAGTCCACGGTGGGATCAACCCACAGGAGCCCCGGCCACGTGGACAGGACCCTCGCAGGAGAGCAAGGAGCTGTTCCTGACCCTGCAGAGGAGGAGGCTGCCAGAGAGAAAGACATCGCAGGAGAAACTGAAGACACAAACACAACTCTGGAATAAATGGGGCACAAAATAAATGAAGAGGAAGGGGGCGGGGAGGAGAAGGGGATGGGGAGGGGGAGAAGCGAACGCAGAACCTCAGCCCCGCCCGAGAGTCCCGAGAGTCGCTTCCACTGCCCCAGCGAGGCACGTGCTGCTGCTGAGTGCAAACCCGCGGGCCAGCAAGACCCCCGGGGCTCCGTGTGTGTAACGCAGGCACAGCACCCAGGTTCTGAGTCCACCTTCCCCTCCACACCCCAGGGTCACCGGGAGAATTTGCAGGGACTCAAGTGACCACACTTCACGGGACACTGCAGCTCTGACTCTGCCAGCAAAGTTTCCCTCACACGTCCCGGAGGCTGAAGCTTAACAGGGGAAGCGACTTGCCTCAGGGCTCACAGCTGGAAAAGGCAGAACGGGAAACAGGGCTGCTGGCAATAGCCGCTCCTCTCCTGAGGTGCTCAGGTGAGCCGAGAGGGGGACATGCAGATGGAGGGGGCGAGGAGGCTGAGGAGATTCGGGAGGGCCGGGGTGACGGTGCACGGCTGGGAGGGGCTGGTGTGAGTGAGGCTGGCACGAGCAGGGCACCCGCAAGGCAGGGCCGCTCTGGCCAGGAGCCCCTGAGCATCGGCCGTGTGCACACCTCGTTTGCTTGCTGTCCAGACTCCTGCCTCCACCCTGCGGCGACCCCATCCGAGACTCAGAAAAGCACTTCCAGGAGGTTACCTTGGAGACCAAAGTGACTCTGCAGATCTCCCACGGGACCACCTGACTCATCACAGCGCCCGAGCTTCCCTTAGTCAGGGAACCGCTGCCCCTGGCCCGTCTGTCTGAAAACCTACAGGAACCGGCCCGTGTCACAAGCTGGCAACGGCGTGAACGGACAGCTGCCAAGCGCCCCAGAGCTCGGGAGAGCCTGGCGGCTGCGGCCAAGGGGAGAGGTGGTGCTCGAGCGCTGGGTCTTCTCGGAGTGCATGCTGGTGAAGGGAGAGACCTTGCTGACGATCCCTGAAAGGCATTTCTTCTCGAGTGACGCCAGGATTACTGCTCACTACTGAAACTCGAGGGCCGCCTCCCTGACACTGGCCTTTGGGAAGTGCCAGGTTTGATCCCACTACCTAAAACCGACCGGCGCAAAGCTTGGACTTCTAAAGGCTTGCGGTCGCACTGTTCTGCAGTAGACGGTGCCGCGCACTCCCCAGAATCACTGCCTCACCCCCAGGAGATGAGAGGCGGGAACAAAAGCCAAGGACTGCGTTCCGCTCCCGACAGCCCCATCAAACGTTCCCGCACAGACCTGGGGAGGTCTTTTTACACAGAGCAATGGAGCCCTCCCTCGGTAGGTCAGCACCAGCCAAGCAAGACGTCCTTCTGGAGACCAGGGGCAGTGCGCGGTCACGGAAGGTCACAGATGCGCCTCAGGAGCCCGGGACTCCAGCACCTCTGCTGCTGGCCAGGGCGACCCGGGGACACTGCCAGCCTCTCCGGAGCCCGTTCTCCATCCGCAGCGTGGAAGAGCCCGATCCGCTTTCTGCAAGGCCTTTCCAGCCCTGGGCCCGTTCTGCGGGTCCCCTCCCTCGGGGACAGGGCACAGGGCTGCGCACCGCGGGCTGCAGCTACTCCTGCTTCTCCCGTCACTGCCTGCGCAATCACGGCCTCCACCCGGTAAGAGTAGGAGCGCGTGAAGCTGCGTGACTCACCACGGGACTCGCCTGGTGCGAAGTCCACGCACAGAGAGCCTGGTTGCCCCTGCCCGGACTGCACACTGGAGGGCGGTGGGACAGCACTGCTGTCCCCCTGCATAAGGAGGACAGAGCTCGGCTGGGCAGGCCCAGTGCTTGGCCTAAGCCCTTTGGGCCTAAGTGGCTGAACAGGACGTCCCTAGCTCGGGGAAGCCAAACCCTGACCTTCCAGCCACGAGTTCATCACCTCCGTCCATCCCTGTGGACCAAGGCTCAGACAGGCACCACACTGCTTTTCGCCACTGCCTCTTTCTACCCAGGACCCCCACAAGCTTTGGGCTAAACATTAGCAAGACTGGGGCATAGTGAACAATGGGAGACCCTGGCCTAGCATGCAGACGGCTAGGTTCGATCCCTAGCACCCCCCAAGTTAGCAAAATCATCCAAGTTTCCCAAACAAGGTCACAGCACCTCCTCATCCACCCCTCGTCCTTTCTCACGCTGTCCACATCTCCGTTCTCTGTGCAGCCTTTGCAGCACGGGGGAGGGTCCCCGAGAGAACCACTGTGAAAGGCTGAGGTGTCACCACAGTGAACGTCAGGTCCCCTGAGAAGCACTTTCTCCCTGCCCCGCACCTTCACATACATGTACAAAACTTACGAAGAACCTTTAAAAAAGATGATGATTTTTCATTACGGGTTTCTCAAAAAGATTCACCACCAAGCGCTTGAGAAAATTCCCGTTGTAAAAATTTTTAATTAATTCATTTAGAATTTTGGGGGGAGTTCATGTATTATTGGTGTTTTGTTCCCTACATTTCCCTATAGGCCTATTCTGAGAATCACTTTACAACTCAGGTGTCTCTAAATTAGCTTTTTTTTTTTTTACTTTTTGAGACAGGGTCTCACTATGTAGTGCAGGCTGGCCTCGAACTCACAGTGAGCCTCCTGCCTCAGCCTCTCGAGTGCTGGGATTAGCTTTTCATGATATTATCAAATCTCAGCCCAGCAGAGGCTTCCCCTAAAGCACGGGAAGGTAACCCATTGCTTCCCCTGTGCTGAAGTCCTCAGTCAGGCCAGCGTACCCCGCGGGAACCCGCTGAAGGGGAGAAGTCGCAAGGAGGTGCGGGCTGCAGCAGTGTCCACTGGGAACCCTGGGCTGGCCTCTGCCCCAGGCTGCTGCCCTTGAGCGGGCACTGGGAAGAAGGTCAATCAGCTGCCTGCCATGGGCCTCCCCAAAACCCCACTTCGGGGCTAAAGTGGAGGTTTCAGCGACTGGAGAGTCGCTTCACAAATGCAGGTTTCTGGCAGAAGTAACCAAGGCCACAGAGCCACTGCCAGCAGACATAGCCTCCCGCTCTTCCCGAGCTTTATCGAGATCGTATTGGATTAAACCGCAGAGCACCGGGCAGGCCCGGGCTCGATAGCAGAACCGGTGCCTACATGCGGCGGAAGCCAGGGACCCTCCGAAACTGAATAATAAAGAAAGAAAACGAACTGCGCTGCATGTTAGCCATAGCCACGGATGGGAAAATCCAGGTCCAGAGCAGGCAACATCTGAGCAGATGTAACCTGACCCAAGATAAATCATAAGCAGCAACTCTCTCCCAGCCAAGCAAGGCGCTATTGGGCAAGAGACAGGGTCATAGTCTGTGTTACCTGGCCAGCTTCAAACACACAGGCGGCGCGGCGCTCAAAGCCGGCACGACTGGGGCGCATACAGCCCTCCCGGCACAGGAGCGAGGGGAGCAAACCACCCAGCGCCTCCGACCCTACCTCTGATATTCAGGGCTTCCGACTTCTTCTTTTTCACAGTCTCTTCCGGCTCATTCTGGGTGTTCAGGGAATCACCTGCATTCAAAGAAGAGACCTTGTGTTGTGTATAAGTTCTACAAACAAAAAGAACCAAAGGACTCAAAACAAAGTTCTGTTATTTCTGACACCTCACTACCCCGCGGCCCTGCCTCTGCGCCCACAGCACCCACAGCAGGACCGGCAGCCCCGCAAGGGCCTCTCCTCCACCTGTGGACCGCACCCAACTAACTTTCCAATTAAACCGCACAGGGAGCCCATCCCCGCCCGGCCCCAAGGCCCGCGGTGCCCCAGGGACAGAGCGCGGCGGAGGGAGGAGGGAGGCAAAGTTCAGCCTGCAGCCCGGGCACCTGTTGCTCAACAAGAATCAATACTTCCGCGGGGAGCGGAGGAGGGCAGAGGTGCGGAGAGGGCCGGGGTCCGCGCACGGGAGGCGAAGGCAGCGGACAGAGCGGGAGGGGCGGAGGAGGGCAGCAGAGCCCGGGATGCCGCCGAAAGGCACCTGCTGCGTCGGCGGTCACGGCGGCGCCCTTCTCGCGCGCGGGGTCCGGGCCC